GTAATATTATTATTTCAAGACAAAGTAATTACAATGCTGACATAAACATAAATGGGAATTTCTAACAATTTTTTGTATGAAAATTAATTAAAACTGTACACATAGCTGTAAATTAGGATTTTGCTCAACATTATAATCCTTTTTTTGTTTTTTTTTTTAAGCACAACATAGGAAATTTGGAAGATCTCCAAAGGGAAATCCGAGTAGAACCAACAGAACATAAACATTACCATACAATTATCAGTATAGCGCTTCCAAGTAGGAATTACTTCTTTAATATTAAGAATTCATTCCATCCCACTCATAATAGACTGTAATAAAAAATAAAATTGTTTTTATGTAAAACAAATTACTTAGAATTACACAAGAGAAATGCGTCTAAAAAATCTAAGCCATTAACTTTATAATAGAAGCTTATAAGAAAAGTTTCTAATTAAAAATTGGTATAGAAAATAATTAATTTTATTTCAAAATCTTTAGTTAATAATATTTTTTGTTAGATATTCACAGGAATGTGTACGAAAAATATTACTCTTTGGTTATTTTTATAAATATATATTCAGAATATTATTCAATTAGATAATTTAGAAAAATGAAAATAAAGGAAAATTAAGTAAAAAATTTCTTAAAATATTTTTAAAATATCATAAAACAATATGGTTAAAAATCAAAATATAGGCCTATACAGTTTGTTTGTTTTAAATTTTATAAACCAATCATCGTTTAGATGGCCATGACACGAACCAATCACCATTTAGATATGTACAGTACTGTACATCTCAAACCAGTTATCGTTAGATTTTTTAAAGATTTTCTTAGTGTTTCCTTAAAGTATGTCGAAGAACTACCTTCATTTACAAAGATTTTAAGATTTTAACTAAATTTTTGCATATTTCTTATATAATAAAATTAAGAAATGAGCAAAGAATAGTATAATTATAAATACTGTTATGCATTTTCCTCAATTTATTCGAACATTATATAACGATTCGTATTCATTGCTTTGTAATGTTTCAAATATCATCAGGAATTTATATCTCGTGATTGAAATGCTCCTCAGCGAGACGAAGCTACACTAGTCATTAGAAAGCGATATAGTGTGAAAATTCTTGGTAAATATTGTCAACAAGAGTTTATACATTACATTCATCACTTCAAAGATTTGAAATTTGTGTTCTTCTTATACCTTTCTAATTGAGAACACGAAGAGAGAGATCAGAGTTGAAAGTAGCATTTAACGTGCTTATACATCTTTCAGATAAATTTAAACTTTACCAAAACATTTTTGAAGTTTCAATCTTTCCAATATTCTCTAACCAATTTTATTTCTTGCTATGTCTTCATTTATTATCTAAAATGCAAATAAATATCGTTCGGAAAAGAAAGCTAAAATTTTTATGAATATGAGAATAAAAATTTAATTAAAAATCCTAAATTTATTATATATATATCCTCAATATATTTGATGCATATCNCCACTTGCCAACACTTTTTTGATGTTGTAGATCAAGGTAAAGGCCAATAAAATGTTCAAGAAGTGAAGGATCAGATGAGTTATAACACGAATTAGGGTTAGTTAGGGGATCTAGGTAGAGCACGTGGCGAGGTCGATGTCCTTTGTTCTTCCGAGGGTTATCGAACGCGATAACTCAAAAAATAATCGACATAAACGAACGAAACTTTGTGTTAATACGTACTTTGAAGCCGTCTATCCGGTGTATAAAATCCTCAGCGGATGGCCTAATGGATCGGCCAAAAATACAACTGGAAGTTGGCCAGAAACAGTCGTAATATACTGCAAAATAAATGACGGAACGTCACGAGGAAAATATCTTATGAACCAGGTTGAAATAGCGAGGAAAAACTTCACGTCGCACTTAAACCCAAAGCGCTAACAGTGGGAGAAACGGTTGTCAGATTTCATGTACAGTGGTAACTCGACATATGAGTTTAATTCGTTCCGTAACCTTGCTCGTATCTCAAAGCAATTTTCCCCACTGAAATTAATTGAAATGCCATTAATCCGTTCCAGCTCCCAAAACACCACCTCAGTTGTTTTTGTTAAGTGTTTTTGAATAAGAAAAATGTATTTACAAGAAGAAACATTTATTTATAAATAACAAATACATATTCTATAAAAACATAATAAAAGAAAAAGTGAAGTGCTTACAGAAGCGCTTAATTTTCATCACTGGTCTTCGCTTTTTCGTCACGCTTTGCTCATTTTCACCTGCAGATCGTTTAAAAAAACTGTCCAAGGAGGTTTGCTTCTTCCTCCCTTTCAGGATATTGCGGAAATGAATTAGGCAAGTTTTGTTGAACAACTCCGATGCACGACCAGTTGCAACTTTTTCGGGGTGATTTTTATCCACGAACTCTACAACTTTCTCCCACATTCCCAAGATCTCCTTTATATCTCTTGTAGAGATAACTTCCTCCATCTTTGGCTCCTCTTCAAAACTAATTTTTCGTTGAACCACCGTATGCTCCTGCGAATGTAGATTGTGTAACTCCTTGGTTGTCAGCTCCTGAGACTGTTCCTCGATGAGTTCATTCACATCTCTCTCATCCACCTCCAGACCCATGGATTTTCCCATAGAAACAATCTCCTCTACCACTGACACTTCGGGTTCCAATCCTTCAAAGGCCCTTTCAGCTACAGCCTCAGGCCACAGCTTCTTCCATGCAGAGGTTAAGGTCCTCGTTGTAACACCCAGCCAGGCCTTATCAATAATTCTTAGGCGTATCACGATGTTAAAGTGGTCCGTCCAGAACTCTCGAAGGGTAAGGTTTATGTTCTCCGTCATCTCAAAGCAGTGCCGAAAAATGTGCTTGGTGTACAACTTCTTAAAATTAGAAATCACCTGCTGATCCATGGGCTGCAGGATAGGAGTGGTGTTGGGTGGTAGGTAGAGAACCTTTATAAACTTGAACTCTTCGAGTAAATCATCTTCGAGATTTGGTGGGTGAGCAGGGACATTGTCGAGGACAAGAAGTTGCATGGGTAGGTTGTTTTCCTGTAGATATTTTTTAACAGAAGGGCCAAACACCAGGTTTAATCACTCCACAAAGAATTTCCTGGTGACCCACGCCTTCGGATTTGACCTCCACATAACTTGCAGTTTTTCTTTTAAAATCTTATGTGACTTAAAGGCTCTGGGATTTTCCGAATGGTATACTAGCAGAGGCTTGATTTTGCAGTGCCACGCGCATTGGCGCAAAGTGCTAGAGCATCGTGACCTGGCATCGTCTTCTCCTCTGCCGTTATGTAAGTCCTATTCGGCATCCTTTTCCAGAAAAGCCCTGTCTTATCACAGTTGAAAACTTGCTGGGGGATGTATCCTTTGGCTTCTATCAGTTCGGAAAACGTTTTGATGTAAACCTCAGCTGCCTTCACATCCAAACTTGCTGCCTCACCATGCCTGACGACATAGTGAATGCCGGTCCTTTTCCTAAAGTTGTCAAACCAGCCCCGACTGGCTTTAAAGGAGTCTTCCGATTCCTCATTTGTGGAAGTGTGTGGAATCTGCTTCAGCAAATCACCGTAAATCGCTCGTGCCTTCTCACATATGATGCTTTGTGTTAAGATTCCTCCTTGAAGCTGCTTCTCTGTCACCCGCACCATCAGTAGTTTCTCCATCTTTTCATGGAGAGAGGTCCAGAGCTTAGAAATTATTGTAACGCCCTTAGCTGGCATTATACCCTTTATCAACTCCTTCTGTTTAAGCACAGTACATATCATTGATGTGCTACGCCCGTACATCCTCGCCAAGTCAATTACTCGTACACCTTGCTCATGTTTTTCTATGATTTCACGCTTTAATTCAATAGATATCATCTTCTTCTTCGGACCCATGGTTATAAAAATAAATGTGATAATGTTTTGTAAATGTACAAAAAGCAAAAAACGCAAATCCAACTTATCAAAAATGCTTCGAAAACAAGGGAAACAAGCACACAGACTGAGGTCTAGTCTGAGGTGGGAGAAACTGTTAGATGCTGCACACGACACCAACATGCGCTTTGCATGTTGGGTCGTGTGCAGTGGTGTAGTGTGCGATTCCTTGTATCTCAACTCTTGCTCTCATCTCAAAGCAAAATATTGCTCGCTCGGCAGCTCGTATTTCAAAACACTCGTATATTAGGGCACTCGTATGTTGAGGTATACTGTATACCACTGTATACTACAAATATGTCTGACGTGAAAGCCCTGCACAAATGAATTCCATAAACAGGATGACTTTTAACATGCTGGCTCAATCATTGACCAAAATCAAGTACAGACTGGATATTGTATGTGCTTTATCAGAAGCATATGTGGAAATGTACTGATTTAATGTAGTAACTTTTTCAGAAGCACTTTCTCTTACTATTATCTACAGTGCAGTATACACAATTATTTTCCCAAATTAATCCACAAAACTAGGGAGGTTTGAGAACACACTGTATAATAATTTATTATTTTCATTGATGCAATTAATTAAAAACTATTTTTAAAATTTGTTTTAGGGTGGTGGTGCTGGTGGTTCTGTGAGGTATGTGATGATTAACATTAAATTCAACCAGAATTTTTAATTGTATTTATATTTAATTATGACATTATGACTAATTATATAATGTTAATTCATTTACAGAGATGCTGGAGGTAGTTTTGGTAAAATGGAAGCAGCAAGAGAAGAAGAATATTTTAGAAAAAAGGTAAGTTTAGAAAATAATGAAATTTTAAGGTAACACAGCTGGAACTGAGTTCAGAAACCAAAATTTTTACCTTTCAGTACCTTTCCAGCTGAAATAGTCTTGTTGACAAATGTTTATTTGCTTTCTTTATGCCTTCTTGAATCTGTTGGTAATTCTCCAGTAGAATGACCTAAGAAAAGCTTAAAGGAAAGCCAAGAATATTTCTGCTATTAAAGTACTGAAAGATATGATTATTTAGGTTTAGAAAATAATGGAAAATGTTTAATTACGTTCAGTATATATACTGTATTCCTAGAAGTAATTTTAACAGTATAGTAGAACACTTGTTATCTGAGATAACATGGACTGATGGTAACTTAGATAACTGAAAACTTGGATAATATAGTGGCCACAATCATTTTGAATTAAAAATTACCAATAGAAAAGATTTATATGGTACATCTCTTTTTTAGCTCTTTTTATACCACAGTGAATTTAATAATGTATAAGAACAATTTTTATATCATTTATTATACAGCTAAAGAACAATTTTTACTTCATTTATTATATACACAATAATTTTAAGAAAAAAATTTGTATTTTATTATAGTTAAGTTTTAATATGAATGAGTTGTCTCACGTTGAAGTTAAATGATGAAAAGTAACAGAAATAAATCATTTTGTAATACATGTTATTGTTTAAAATTTTCTTTTACAAATTATGGTATAAGAAAAATAGCATTTTCAATTATAGGTGTGCCTNACATGAATGGTGTTTGTATGTGGTAGTAGCCCCAAGTCTCCATTTGTGCACTATGGTGGTTGCGTCTCGATAGCTATAAGGGTGCGGGAGAAATGGGTTGACTTCGAAGATTTTCTATTTCGATTTTTAAAATGTTCGAACCGTTTTAAATTCGAATTTGTATTCGAATCCGAATTGGTTCGATTATAGAACGATTGTAAACGTTCCAGAAAATTGATCAAATTGAAAATAGTTCGTTTGACTGGACGTAAAAATTCTCTAATTAGTCTGGAAATGGGGGACCTAATTCTTGCATTCTGTGCTATAAGGGTGTGGGAGATATGGGGTTGAAAGTGGTTGACTTCGAAAATGTGTAACAATGGAGTGTCAATAATGGAAGTGTGAACAATAAAAGTTTTAACAATGGAAGTGTTAATATAAAGCGGCATGCAAGATTTACAGGCGGTTTTTTGCGTTTTTGCGGGAAATCGAACATATTTTTAGATCCATGTAAAAATTCTCTAATTAGTTGGAAACGGGGGACCTAATTCTTGCATTCTGTGAAAATGTGTAAGATTTGCTATAATGTAATCTTAATCTTAAATGTTTTCGAATAGTCGAAAATGTTTTGGATTAGTCGAGGACTGTCGGGATATGAAAATCGTCTGGCACTCAGTTTTCCCGCCTTTTTATGAACGACCGTTGTCGCCATAGATACCGCGATCAGATCATTTTGAAAACTCGACTGCTCATTGGCTAAAAGACATCAGACCATCGGCGGACNCATGTCATAGATTGTCAATAATTAATATGTAGCTTATTTGTGATAGGACTCTGAAAATTCTATACTTGTCAGAACCTGTAATATCTGAAATAATTGTGCTTATGCTGTCTTAATTTTTAACCAATCCCAGTAGCTTCTATAAATGCATTATGCCAGGTTGTGCAAATTGGGCAAAGGATACAAACGAGTACGAAGTGTTCAAGTATGAAGTTTTTCTTCATAAACTTGATTATTAAAGCTAAACGAACTGCCGAATTATCGGGCTGTAAGCTTGATTCCGCTATTAAAGCAGTCGAGGTGAACAATCAAGAATNACTTTGAACTTTGTTAATATCTAATGTTTGTAATTCTTATATGTGAACTTTAATTGTAATTGTACATACGTTTATTTTCAAATATACATTAAGTTTTAAATTTAACTGACTCTGAAGTATATAATTTGAAGTTGACTAGGACCGTTATGTGTGAGTAGTGAGGATGGCGTTTGGAGACGTGTGACGCACATACTTCAGTTGATTTTTCATTATTAAAAGTGTATGAATAACAGAAAAGGTAGAAAGTAAAAAGTGAATAGTTAAGTGTGAAAAGTAAAAATATAAAAAACAATGCCAAAGTGTAAGAAAGAATTTTTGCGGTCTCGAATTAGGGGAGATCGGGGCAACTTCGGCATGCAGGGCAAGTTTGTCAAGCGCTTTTTTTAAAAAACAAATTAAAAGGAGACTTTGGTTATAGGTTAGGCAGTTGAGTTTTATTGGTGGCTTGTTGAGTGTAGTGTTTTTATTGTTCTCCAACAAGCGTAGTTGAATTATCAAGCAAATTTTCATTTTCGTTCAATTCCATATAATATTTT